TGGGAATGCGAGGAATGTAAAAAATTTCCCCTTTCGCACAACCGGTAATAATTGTGGCCTTTATCAGGCAGCACATCAGACGCTTTCGGTGTCACTTGTAGTTTTTCCTTCATACGGTCAAACAGGTCCAGTTTTTGACTTTCTTTAGTTTACCCTTCGAAACTGTAGTTTTTAATCTTTTATTTGTTATTTCTGGACATGTCACTTCTTGCACAACCTTATAGATCCCCGTTTCCTTCTTCTTCCTCGTATCAACCACAAGGACATTCACACCATCTTCACATGTACCGTGTTTATTCTCCAGCTAAAAGGAATGACGAAATATTTAATTGGAAATAACTACTCAATTTGGCGGTTAGGCGTTTTTTAGCTTCATCTGCGGAAGTTTGATCCAGTGTTATCGGCTATATCTCTATTAAATCACATCGCTTGCAGTTAGGAGTGCCGTTTTATGTTTAGCCTGTAATGGATCCACGCGTAATTCCTCCATCTTACAAGTTTAGAGCTCGATTTCACCTTTTGACGATTCAACAGCCACAACTTCATAGCTGGTCGACGTTAAGAAGTTTGATCAGTTTTGGGCCAGAGTAAATTAGCAATTGCATAGAATAAAACAATTAAAATCACATATTCTGAATACTCCCGACCTTAAGAATTGTGTTCTGTTCTCATGGGAGGTAATATCAATTGGGGATATTACATGCTCGGTTATTGAAATAAACGCTCTCTTATCAACACAGTTTGTCGTTTTTGCATCAAAATTGGATCTTGGATTGCAGAAGATTTGCTCACTACTTACTGAGGCTGTGTGTTTTAAAAGCTTCCAATATCAATATGTCTTCTGGTTAGGCTGAGTGTAATTTAATAAAAAAAAGGTGCATATTTTTTTAAAAAATGTGTCTCACAATGTGTAATGTGAATTCTTCAGACAATTGCTGTCAGTTTTGTCGAAGTCAGACTTTATAATGAGACGTTGCATAAGTCTTCAGCCGGATCTTGTTTTAAATTATGAACGGTAACGATGCTGCATTTCGTGCATGGTGGTGCGAATAAATCCCAGACTGAAGGGTGGTTGCGAGCTACTTTAAATCCGATTGGAACGATAAATTGTAACTAACCTTCCCTTAAAAATATAAATTTACATACGGAATTACGACCAATTTGAAAAATAAACAGAATTTGTTTAGAGAAACCTTGAAACCGCCGTCTTGCGCTTCTTGCATATGCTCTTCTTGCACTTGGAGCTCTTCCCTCTGCGCATGTGCTTGTGGTAGTCGAAATTAAATGAAGGAACACAATGTGTGCCAAATCGCAGTTTGAAGATAAGTGATTTCTCTCCTTTTTGAAGCTTATAAGGTACATTTATTTTGTCTTCTGCGTCGAACGCTGGCGGCGTTTCGTCTTCGTTCGTT